TTCTTCAAAATTTTTAAACATTTTATATAAATCAGCTCTGTCCGCTTCCTTATTAATAAATTCGTCAAAGGTCATCTTTTCGGCATCTTTCCTGCTAATTCGATAAGAAAGGCGCGAAGACAGGATTTGTGCGAATTGTACAATTGGACAGAGGTTTTTAATAATCTCTAATCGTTCATTATATTTAAAGAATACCGCAAGAAATGGATATTTAGTTTGATATTGCGCCAGATCCCCGTTATAATAAGCACGGAAACTATTAAAATTGGCGACATCAATTTTACGCCAAAGTCGCGGTAATTTCGAAAGACGGTATTCATCATCTATTGCTCTTGTTTGGTCAATTTCAGATTCGATGATGTTGGCATTATTACCCTGACCTTCAGCCGCAGCATCTAATGCCGTGCGAAAGTTTGTTACAGTTTCAGTAACGCTTCTAATTAATGGAGAAACATAATTTCGAGTAAATTGCGTTTCCCAATCCTCACGCTCAGCTGGCGTCCTAAAATTTGACGGAGGCAAGGGTGTTTGTGTCATTGTAGTAAGTAATGAATGAAACAGCAATGCTAAGTTTTCATCGGAACAATCAAGAATTTGTCTAAGAACTGTCCAATCAGTAATTATATGGGCCAAACAATATTGCTCAGTATCATTTGCTGTTTGGTTATGTCTGCGTAGGAAGTTTAGTGTTGCTTGAGAATGCGCAGAGGATCCAATTAGGGCATGAACAATTAAATGTAAAATTCTATAAGAAGAAGGTGGCATAGATCGAACTGAATGATCAACCGCATTGTTAACTTGCTCTCCAATATATCCAGGTTGATCTTTAGATTTTATAGGTCCAGTTATCGGTGCGTTATCTAATCTTCGATTCCCAGCTGCTGACGTATGATTTGCCCCACCGATTGTATTGTTTTTACATCCTGGACATCTTATCGCTTCCATAGCTTGACCACAGTTAGCAATTACATACATATATCCACATTGACATGAGTATCTGGAAAATAAAATTTTAGTAATAATTCCTAAAATGCTTATTAACAATAACGTGAACCTTACCGAGTAATTTGTCCTCCACCTCCAGTAATTACTGCACTTAAAATTAGTGATTCAATGTCAGAAACGGTTGTCAAAATGAACATATTTTGACACGCTTCTATCTTATGAAAATATGTCGCGAGTGGAGTGGAATCTGGAGGAATCGAAGCATGCATTGCTATAATATGAGCTATAACTGATTTTAAGTACAAATTACTATTATCTATGGTATTATCCAAGCGAAGGAGTGATTGATTATTTGAGAGGATTCTTCCTACGGTTTGTTTATATCCATTTGATAAATTGTTCATTGTACCAACAACCTTCAAAAATTCTGCAATTTGATGTTCGGGTGCTCCCCATTCACGAGATGCTCTAACCACATGTAAGCGAGATATAATAAGTCCAATCAATGCAATTCTTGTACGAAATGCATTATTATTTTGCAATTTCTGCATAAAAGCTTGAAAAGGTGCCTTGTTGCCAATGCTGTATAATTCTTTAAATGCGTTTTCGGCATCGCGATAATCCTGTAATTGCCAGTATGGATTAAATGGAAGACGAGTATCTTTATTGTCATTCCATTTGAAAGTGGACAACCAAGGAAATCTATTGGTGTGTGCTGCACAAAATCGTTTTACGTCATCGATTGAAAGACCCTTGTGACGTAATTCGCGGAGAAAGTAGACCTTAAGGGAATGAATTAAGGGATGGTCTAAACTCATAAAATTGTTAATTTCTTCGATAAGTATATCACCATCAAATTCACCAACATCCATTATGCCAATGAATGAAATTGGTTGAGTATAGTCATCTTGAAGTGTTTCATCCCACATACAGCAAACAAATTCTTTAAGGAAAGCAATTGCTGTTATGAGTTTCAAGGGTTCAGCTGCTTTTTCTAATAATGTTTGAACAGCATGTCCAAAGTATCGGGCCATATCTGGAATATCCATATAAATAAAGAATTCTTTCTGAATAATATCGCAACATAGAGTAGCCATTGAGGAATCTAAATTATGGTTTTTCAAGGCAGAATTGATTACTTTTAAGCGGGGTGAGGCTTGTAAAACATCTCTCAGATCTATTAAGATCCGTAGAAACGGGTCATTAATTGTTTCTTCTTCTTTCCAAAATATCTTAGTAATTATTGATCCCATAAGTGGAAAAGAATCATTTTGTGAAAAAATATTATTATAAATATGTTGCCTAACTACTGAATCCAATGGGATGGTGTCAAGACATCTCATTATAAACGATCTTTGTAAAGACAGGTTTTGCTCGCTTTTTTTAAGCTTGGATAGAATGCCTAATACGTGATCGACGAATTTCTTAGATAAAACGGTTTGTTTATCAGAAGCTAACCCCAATTTTATAATTTCCTTAATGTTTGGTAGTTGTATCAATTTGGATGATACAATATCGTTACAAATACGTAATAATTGATATGATCTTAATTTATTTGTCTTTAAAATCTTCGCACTAAACGATAAAATCTTGACAACTTCGTGTTGCCATTGATCTAATTGAGGCTCACTGTCTTTTTTTGCTAATTTATCTAACATCATGTTTATAACTTTATCAACAAGAAATTCCTCAAATGAAGCGTTTGGTATTTCCCGCACAAAGTCATTTATAACCGATGGACACATTTGTGCTAATTGTAAATCTGCTGATATAATATTAGAAACTTTCCACCAATAGATGTGAAGAAGAACTGGATCAAGTACTTTATCTTTTCCAATATGTAACTGTAATAATTTAGCAAGTAACTTGGAATCCTTCTTATCAGCGTCATTAGCGACTATAACCGTTATAAAATCATCAAAAAACCATTCAGAATAGTCTCTAAAAACTTGATCGTTAATAGTCGGAAGTGATGCTTTGACATTTTCACTAAATCCTTGAACGGCATTTACAAAAGTATCATGTGAAAGTTCTTGATTATCATCACAGTTTTCTGGATTTTCTTTAAGTTTAGCAAGCTCATCTTCCCATGTGGCCTTGAATTCATTAATTTTTTTCATAAAATAATATGAAAATGGAAATTTTAAATCATAAAATAGTTCTGGCATCACATATTGGTCGGGCTTTGGTTCAAACAAGTCATTAACATTCAAGACTTTTAGGTCAAAGAACATTGTTCTTAAAAATGCAACTAAAGTCTCATTTCCCTTATTTTGACTAATTGATATTAAAGTTTTGGTGATTGACAATTTCTCAAGAGCAAATAGCATTTTGGCAATTGGACATCTGACCAATGATCGGAGATATGCCAATAATGCGGCAGAAAAAGATGGATAAGGATATAACAATTTTTTATCAGATGCAACTTTATATTGCCAATTGTCTGTAGAGTTTTCTTCTATCCATTTTAATGCGTATGTTTTTAAGCATTCAATAAGAAGAGGACTCCTCATTATATCTGTTTTCAACATTCTATAAAATATTATAAACAATATCATTTATTATGTATTAAATTTATAACCTCATGAAAAAAATAAACTTACTTTATATGATCGACTGATTTTGAAGTAGATGGGTACTTTATACATAATAAACACCATAATAATTCATGTTTTAAAATATCCTCAAACTTGTATTCAGTAATAATAATATCAGCTAAAGAACCACTTAAGATAGTTGACAAATTCTTCTCTTGTGGTGTTAAAGCCTCGATTGTAACTTGTTTCCATCCACACATAAAATTAAACGAAGACATATAATTTTGATCCCGTTGAATATGGAGAATAATACAGACATATTTAATTCTGCCTGAATTTTTTCTCAAAAATTCATTTTGAAATTGTTCAATAATGAATTTCGCCAGTTTAATACATCCAGCATTTACGGTAGTAATATCGCATTGAAGAATTAACATTTGTTCGTCTGATTCCTCCCAAAATCGTTTTATTCGATTTTGAAGTTGAGCCTCCGTCTTAAACGTTGATAATTTATCTACTTGGCATGTGAAGAGATCTCTTAAACACTCAGAAACATCTGTATTAATATTAGAGAACGTATTTATAATGAATCTCGTTATTGTTGAATCCGGATCCGAGTACATAAGCTGTCCAAAAAATGCACTAAGGCTATTATGATTTTGCAATGGAATGTGTTCGTCAGATAAATTGCGGAAATAAACTTTACTCCATAGATCAATTTCTCCAGGATCCACGCTTGATTTTGAAGTTCTAATAATTCCATCAGAAGATGCAATATCAATTAAAGCTGCTTTACATCGTTTAATTATTGCTTCTTCATTATCCTCGGGGAATTTTGTCATAACATCAATTACCAAACTTTGTAAAGTCTCGTTTTCATCAAAACCAATAAAAAGATCATCTCGTGTAAAAGAAGTTCGCGACGCGTTAGTTTTATTCGTTTCTGCCATAGAGACCATCTGTTGTGTCCAAGTGCTTAGGATTTTAACAATCTTTTGATGATTATCAGTAAGAGTGTCATCGATTGTCATCCTTTGTTTTTCAAATCTATTTAGTAATGGTGGATCGGCCTTTGCTAATTTTTTTTCGTCAAGAACTAAAATACATCTAAAGTTCTTATGAACATATCTTCGTAAAACAAAAAGATGTTAGTTATCTTGATTAGTTTTTAACATATATATATATATATATATATATTTTCATATAGTAACTTACAACATAGGATTTGCATATGCTCCAAGTGCAACACGAGTGTAATATTTGGGATCATTTTTACTTCCAAATACAATATAATTCTGGTTCCATA